CTACCCCCCCCCTTTCCCGCTGGTTTCCTCCCTTGCCCCTCGCAGTCTCCCCCTTGCCGCCATGCCCTCTCCCTCTTCCCGGAAGGTTGCCTCCCCGTACGGCAACCTAGAGACCATGACCAAGAACGAGCTGATTGCCGTTGTCAGCGAGATCAACCCCTTCCCCCCGCAGCAGCTGTACCGGCTGCGGAACACGCGTCGCCGGACGCTGATCACCATGATCGAGAGCCACATCCAGGGCCAGCCGGTGGCCTTCCCGGTGACCCCGAGCACCCCGAACAGCTCGGCCGCCAAGGAGGCCGCCAGCCCGGGCACCCCGGCCAGCCCGGCCGCCACCGGTGTCCTGACTGGCGCCTCGGCCGGTAGCATCCTGGCCGCCTCGCCGCACCTTTTCTCCGCCCCGGCCGTTGCCTCGCCGGCCAGCAAGGGCTCCAGCCCGGCTAAGGGGCCCGGCTCATCTGTGGCCCAATCCTCGCCCGCGGTCCAGTCCCCGTTCGCCACCAAGGCCACCGGCAGCACCGCCGCCGCCGCCGCCGCCGCCAGCAGCACCCCCTCCCGGGCGCGCGAGCAGGACGAGCAGGAGGAGGTGTCCTCGGTGGTCAAGGTCGCTCGCCAGCTGAGCCGCGTGGCGGCGGCCGCGGCGGCCGAGCTCACCGGCTCCGGCTCCGACTCCGGCTCCGGGTCCTCCTCTTTCTGCACCGAGTCCGGCGGTTCGGCCACCGAGACCGAGTCGGAGGTCTTCTCGGAGAGCGACCTCTCCGGCACCGAGAGCGACGCCTCGGTCGACAGCCTGACCTCGCCGCTGCCCTCGCGCGGGGTCCGCACCCACGTCCTCCACGGGGGCACCCCCTTCCTCAATGAGTCGACCTTCGACGTGGGCCGGCGCGCGACCACTCGGTCCTCCTCGCGCCGCCACGGGGCGGCCATCGCCACTCCGGCCGCCCCGGCCCTCGGCCTCGGGCGCATTCACCTTGCCATTGCCGTCATCGAGGTGGTGATCATCCTCTTCCGCAGCCTTTCCACTGCCTCGGCCCCGGATGTCGTGCGTACATCCCCCCTCCCCCCCCC